TACATAAGGGACAGTGTTTTACTATGCCATTGTACAAAATAAAACTTCAGCATCCACAGTTTTGGGTATTTACGGAGGTCCTGGACCCAAACCCCAATGGGCACCAAGGACTCATTGTACTTCTGTTGCTATTGAAAGTATCATAATAGTCTCCCCACGGGATCATTGTGACTTTCAGATGGTGTAGTAAAGGGAGATTATATAAGGGCAAGACCCTCAGCAGGGTTTAATTGCAACAGAGCAATGAAAAGTAAGAAATTTTGCTCTTTGTGCTTCAAGTAAGTGAAGCCAAACTAGCACTGTTATTGATACAGGTCAAAAAGTCACCTTTGTTTAAGCAAACAATATCTGGATTTAGCAAACAGACCCATCTAACTGTCAACAGAATTTCTACTCAGTACAGTGAATTATCCCAGATATGGAAACATTATATGGGAAGTAATGGGGACAATTGTTTCTTTTTGGGGCTTTGTGTAATTATCTAGATCCTCCCAAGCTATGTGAAGTGTGATCCAAATTGTTCTGTCGTGTGCTGTAGAGAATTGTCTTTAAATCAGGACGTGCGACCTTTGCCCAGTGGGAAGCTAGGGGGCCCCGAAGAGAAGCTCTCAGGGATTTTCCACCACAAATAGTCTTTAGATGGCTTGTGAAGAATAACAAAGTCCTTTATTAATGAACAATCAAACAGAAACTTTTCTTGTCTTCAATAATGTTAAACAAATGCTTCCAGGCTTTTATGCAACTGGTGGCTTCCTAATCTTGCCCACGAAGGACAGGCAACTGTCTTCAATAACTTATTCTTTACTTTAAAGGAAAATCCCTTTTAACTTCTCCCAGGCTGATTGTAATCTAACCCTTACTGATGTGGGCTCCGCTACCGGGTCGAACTGCTTCTCGAGCACTGAGTGGACCTACCAGTAAAGGCTTAGATATTCTCCAGCTGGAGTTCTTTGGTCTTCCAAACTGTTCACCCTCCGAAATTCCTCAAAGCTTTAGGACTGCTTCCCTGGAAATCTTTGGGTGCTCTTAAGACTGTTCTCCCCCGGAAAGTCTTAAGGGTTGAAGCTTTTGTACAGGGGAAGCTTGCACACATCCTGTACATTAGCTTTCCTTGCTGAGACTAACTAAAAATGGCTCCCTTCCCAATTGCCCTGAGCAAGGGGCGGGACCAAAACTTAACGATGATGGACAGGTGACTTGCCCTATGATTGCAGCCAAAGGAAGCCACCTTTTTGCAGAAACCCAGGAACCTTGGGCTGCAAGCAAACATTTAATACAAAGCAAACATAATTGGAGCTCCTGGTACAGCCATACCAGCACACAAATCAATCTGATTTGTTTGTGTGTGCACATACATGAATGTATGTACGCAAAAACAAAAAAAGGAGCTCTGCAGTCTAGATTCAGGAAAAGCCACAAATCTTACATATTTGTAATATTCACTGAGTACTTGTTTCTGCATCTCAGTATTTGCTACTTGGACCGAAAGAATTTTGCATGAATGTATGTATACATCAGTCTGTGCACATTTAGCCAAAGTTATGGGGATTATAGAACTACCCTGAACTCATAGCTATATTCAAACAATGGGTGAAAAATTGAGCTTTGAGTTCCTCACAACTATTTTAGAGCATTGACATCAGCTGTGATTCTACAATGTTCTGCACAAGCCCCTGTGACACATGTATTTTATTAGATAACTTCATGCAATGGGAGGAACAGTTATCTGCAAAATTATTGCTTTTTTCATGTCAGGAGCGACTTGAGAAACTACAAGTCACTTCTGGTGTGAGAGAATTGGCCGTTTGCAAGGACATTGCCCAGGGGATGCCCGGATGTTTGGATGTTTTATCATTGTTGTGGCAAGGCTTCTCTCATGTCCCCGCATGGGGAGCTGGAGCTGACAGAGGGAGCTCATCCACACTCTCCCCGGAATCGAACCTCCGAAATGTTGGTCTTCAGTCCTGCTGACACAAGGGTTTAAATGTTCTGATTTTATATTATTTTTATAATGTTTGATGTGTATATTTTTATTGGTTCTGTATTATTTTTTTTATTTTTTTTATTTTCTGCTCTGTTTTGCTGTGTTCTGTTGTATATTGTTTTATTGTACTACTGGGCTTGGCCTCATGTAAGCCGCCCCAATTCCCCTTGGGGAGATAGTGGTGGAGTATAAATAAAGATTATTATTATTATTATTATTATTATTATTGACACAAAAGCACAGTATGTCACAGCAAACGAGATCTATATGCTGGATTTCGTATCACAAAATCACAAGTCGAACACTTCCCAAGCGTCTAGGACTGTGTGATGTATTTTCGAATGATGCGCACAGATCCAAGTCAGGTGGCCTTTTGCAGTTGACAGATCGTGATTTTGTCAATGTTTATTGTTTCCAAATGCCGGCTGAGATCTTTTGGCACGGCACCCAGTGCGCCAATGACCACTGGGACCACCTGGACTGGTTTATGCCAGAGCCTTTGCAGTTCGATTTTGAGGTCTTGATAGTGACTGAGTTTTTCCTGTTTTTTTCCTCAATGCGACTGTCACCCAGTATGGTGACATCAATAATCCAGACTTTTTTCTTTTCCACAATTGTGATGTCTGGTGTATTGTGTTCCAAAACTTTGTCAGTCTGGATTCAAAAGTCCCACAGTATTTTTGCATGTTCATTTTTCACGACCTTTGCGAGTTTATGGTCCCACCAATTCTTTGCTGCTGGCAGGTGGTATTTGTGACATAAGTTCCAGTGAATCATCTGGGCCACAGAGTTGTGTCTTTGTTTGTAGTCCGTCTGTGTGATTTTCTTGCAACAGCTGAGGATATGATCCATGGTTTCATCAGCTTCCTTGCACAGTCTGCATTTTGGGTCATCCGCTGATTTTTCAATCCTGGCCTTAACTGCATTGGTTCTGATGGCTTGCTCCTGGGCTGCAAGAATCAGGCCTTCTGTCTCCTTCTTCAGGGTTCCATTCATGAGCCATAACCAGGTCTTCTCCTTGTCAACTTTTCCTTCAATTTTGTCAAGGAACTGCCCATGCAATGCTTTGTTGTGCCAGCTGTCAGCTCTGGTTTGGAGTGCGGTTTTCTTGTAATGACTCTTTGTCTGCTGTGCTTTGAGAAGTTTCCGGTTATTGAATTCAGTTAAAGTAGGTTCTTGGCTTTCCTTGTGTTCTGTTGCGCGCTGGGTCTGTAACAGCTGTACTTTTCTATAGAATGTATACTTTAAGCCCAGCGGGAAGCCAGGGGGCCTCAAAGAGAGGTTCTCAGGGATTTTTCTGAAGTGATGGTCTTTAGAGTCTTTGATGATGCAACAAAGTCTTTATTATGGAACAAACAACAAATCTTCAATGGTTCAAACAACACTTCAAGGCTTTCTTAGTCTAGTCCTCAATGGACTGGCACCTGACTTTGATTAACTAAACTTTCTCTGTAGGAAAAACCCTTTTAACCTCTCCCAGGCTGCTTTCTATCTATGCCTCATCGGTGTGGGACCTACTACTGATTCCATATGTGTCTGGGTATTGAGTAGACCTACCAACCGAGGCTTGAAGATATTTCAGCTGGAGTTCCCTGGATCTGTAATGCTGTTCTCCCTTCGGGAATTCTTAGAAACTTCAGGGCTGTTCCCTCTGATGCTGTGAGGCTGAGACGCTGTGAGCTCTCAGCCAGAGCTTTTGGGACCTTTCTCCTGGATGGTTAATTCTCCTGGATGCTCCTTTTTCCCTGGATGGTTATTCTACGGGACGAGCTGGTCTACGTCCTATAGCTTAGCTACCTTGCGTGAGACTGCCCAAAAAATGGCTCCTTTCCCTGCCAGAGCCCAGAACAAGGGGAGGAACCAAAGCTTAATTATGATGGACAGGAGGCCTGTCCTATGACTGCAAAACAGATAACAGAAAGAAAATAAAGTTGGAGCTCCTGGTACAGGCGTACCAGCACACCTTGACATATTCTGCCAGGGTGTGTTTTTCTTCTCTGACTACTTGTTTTACTTGTAAAACTCTGTTGTTGTTGTTGTTGTTGTTGTTGTTGTTGTTGTTATTATCCCGTTGGACCACTGGGGGCTCCTAAAAATTATTACTTATCCTATTTCTCTTTCCCACCTGCCCCACATTTGCCTCCCAACTTTTTGTTTTGTATTAAAATACGCTCATGTTCTCTCTTCAGGCAACATAATTGTAAGAAGTCAATTGTTAGTTATTAAGAGCCCCACATATTTTGATGAATGTAAGTAAATAGTGTTTGAGAGCCCTTGACATAAGGTGCAGGGAATGGATGAGTTGAAATGGAGCCCGGCATGGAGAAACAAGTCTAACTGTGAATGCTGAGTTTTTCCACCATTATATATTCTTTCTTTTCAAAGTGTGCCATATTCTGAGACCCTCTCAAGGCTGTCATTTGGAACATTTACTAGTTTCAAATTAGGGAGCTGGAATGGGAATGAAACCCTCATGGTTTTGTTTTTGGTGCTATCTGAATCCAAACAGAATGAGAGCTGGATTTGTAGAGATTGAGTTCGAATTCATTTACTCTAAAATCAATAGCAAGACCCGGATTTTGCATCAAAGTTTGAATTCCGTGGCAAGTGCAAACATTTAAGGGGCTGTATTTAAAAAACTATTATTTCCGTATCTTCACAATGTCGTATTGAAATTGGCTCTGGCAGCTCTCCAAATGAATACAAACTTTCCTATTGCAGGCTAAGAGCACTCTTCTCTGCTTTCTGAATGCTCCATACAACAGAAACCTCATCTCATCTGAGACCTTGAAGAGAGATTGCAATACAAACACTGTCGAATGCATAATGCTGATAAACTGGAATGGGATCTATGTCATGCCATTCACATGAGGATGACAGAGTTCCATCTCTTGCAAGGCCACAGGGAAGCCATTGTGTTCTTTTAGGCTGACAATATGCAGAAACCATGGTTCAGTTTCCTTCCAGCAGAGATTTAGAATATTTCCTGGTAACATTTCTTCTCGTTTTGTTACAGGGGTGAGCCTGCTGATTCCGCATGGGGCTATTCCTGAAGAAATCTCTTGGGAGATCTATCTTTCCATCAACCAAGGCGAGTCCAGGTAAAACAGGAACAACCATTATGTGCATATGCTGTGCTCGTTTCCTGAATACCAGTGTGTAGAAGACCACTAGGGAAACAAACTTCTAATACAGCTGAGGGTTAAATATAGTTGATTGTCTGTATATTTATTTATGTAACCCTCTGATAGTGGCGAGGTTTTATTAAATAAGGTTTTTGTGGGTGAGCAGATGGTGACTACTGGATGGCATATGTTCTGTATCAGAAACTAGAGCTGATGTATTCTATCCAATGCAATTTTCTGAATCAGCACCTGAAATAACCAAACCAAATCTAAAGCTGACCAAAAACTAATTTATTTTTATTACTAACTAGCCGTCCCCTGCCACGCGTTGCTGTGGCCCACATGGGGGTTCTGTGTGGAAGATTTGGCCCAATTGTATCATTGGTGGGGTTCAGAATGCTCTGTGATTGTAGGTGAACTATAAATCCCAGCAACTACAACTCCCAAATGTCAAGATTCTATTTTGCCCAAATTCAAAATTGTAGGTGAAATCCCAGCAACTACAACTCCCAAATGTCAAGGTTCTATTTTCCCCAAACTCCACCAGTGTTCACATTTGGGCATATTGAGTATTTGTGTCAAGTTTAGTCCAGATCCATCAGTGTTTGAGTCCACGGTGATCTCAGGATGTAGGTGAACTACAACTCCAAAACCAAAGGACACTGCCCACCAAACCCTTCCAGTATTTTCTCTTGGTCATGGGAGAACTGTGTGCCAAGTTTGGTTCAATTCCATCGTTGGTGGGGTTCAGAATGCTCTTTGATTGTAGGTGAACTATAAATCCCAGCAACTACAACTCCCAAATGACAAACATCATTTTTTTAGTGAAGGACATACATTGGGTTGCTAGGGGTATAGTGTCCAAATTTGGTGCCAATTGCCCCAATGGTTTTTGAGTTCTGTGAATACCACAAACCAACATTACATTTTTATTTATATAGATGTTGGAGAGTAGTCCCTGGTCAAAGTGGTCATCTGTCAAGTGGTCCCTAGTCATTTATTTATGTAACCCTCTTATAGTGCTGAGGTTTTATTACATATGGTTTTCTGTGGACGAGCAGATGGAGAGTACTGGATGGCATATATTCTGTATTGAAAATTAGAGCTGATGTGGTCTATCCAATGCATTTTTCTGAATCAGCACCTGAAATAACCAAACAAAATCTAAAGTTGACCAAAAACTAATTCATTTTGGTACTAATGTTGGAGAGTGGTCCCTGGTCCAAGTGGTCCCTAGTCAAAAAAAAAGTTGGAAACCACTGCTTTAGAAGTTCTTTTGGATCACATCACTCGATCACATGGAACATGTTACGCTTAAGCGGAATTTAGTCTGGTTCAATGCAAAAGACACAATAACTTTGCACAAAAGCAAGGAGGAAAAAGAACAGAAAACTTTACTCTTGTCAGCAGAGTCAAAACATAAGCTTGCAGTGTTGCATGCAAAATAAACAGTGACCAAAAACTAATTCATTTTGGTACTAATGTTGGAGAGTGGTCCGTGGTCAAAGTGGTCCTCTGTCAAGTGGTCCCTGGTCATTTATTTATGTAACCCTCTTATAGTGCCAAGGTTTTATTAAATATAGTTTTCTGTGGGCGAGCACTGGATGGCATATGTTCTGTATTAGAAACTAGAGCTAATGTGGTCTATGCAATGCGATTTTCTGAATCAGCATCTGAAATAACCAAACCAAATCTAAAGTTGACCAAAAACTAATTCATTTTGGTACTAATGTTGGAGAGTGGTCCCTGGTCAAAGTGATCCCTCGTCGAAGTGCTCCCTAGTTAAAAAAAAAAAGTTGGGAACCACTGGATTAGAATTTCTTTTGGATCACATATCTCAATCACATAGAACAGTGGTTCTCAACCTGTGGGCTGCAACCCAGCAGTGGGCCTCAAGAACGAAAAAAAGCTGAACTGTATTCTAAAGCACATACAGTTATACCCCACCAGGTGTGGCTCAAATTTACTAGCTGACCTAGATTAGCAGCTGCACATAATGATTAACAGTATAATGTTTCCTTTAACACACACACTTGATGTTGATCCTTTTGCAACTTACTGTAACAGAACCCTAACTGGGCTGCAACCCAGCAGTGGGCCATGAGAATGAAAATCCGGTCCACAAACCTCCTTCCTTTTTATTTATTTTATTTTATTTATTTCCACTCCTTTCCGCAGAGCTGACCAGCCCCATCCCTTTTGGTACTAATGTTGGAGAGTGGTCCCTGGTCAAAGTGGTCATCTGTCAAGTGGTCCCTGGTCAAGTGGGCCCGGGTAAAAAAAAAGGCCACTGACATAGAAAGACCCCCCTCTCCAATTCTAGAGATTCTAGACACCGGGATTGTGGCGCAGCTGGCTGAGTGTCAGCTGCATTAAGAGCACTCTGACCAAAAGGTCATGAGTTCGAAGCCAGCCCGGGCTGGAGTGGGTGTCCAGCCATTGTGTAGCCCGTTGTCGACCTTTGCAACCCGAAAGACAGTTGCATCTGTCAAGTAGGAAAATAAGGTACCACCTTGTGTGGGAGGCTAAATTTAACTAATTTATGAGGCCATAAAGAAAAAGACTCCGGGGAATGTGGAATGCGGAAGAACTTCATCGGTGTCGTTGATGGACGATGAAAAGCAGCAGCTCCCCTGGCGGCCAGAAAAAAGTTAAATAGCCTTGGTGTATTTGTCTGTTAAATGTTGTTTGTCAAACTGGCATTGAATGTTTGCCATATATGTGTTTACTGTAATCCGCCCTGAGTCCCCTGCGGGGTGAGAAGGGCGGAATATAAGAACTGTAAATAAATAAATAAATAAATAGAGGCCATCATGGGAATAATGTCCTGTTTTTCAACATTTTAATGGGCATAATGCCTGGTTTTTTAAAAATAGTACTTCTGTGTATTCTACAATTTTGGCCTACATTTTTTTTGTATTTTAAAAATGATGTTTTATTTTCCTTATTATTACTGGGGGGGAACGTCCAACCTGAATCAGATGAAATGAGAATTTAACAGTTTTTGATAGCCGTTGTTAACTCTTGAAAAGAATAGGAAAATGGGTTCCTGGCACCTTTCTTCTTCTTTTTTTTATTGTATCTGTGTTTAAAAAAAATCAAACCAACCTGCCACAAGTTTGTTTTGTTTGCCTTTGTTTGGAGCCCTGGGGGAGCTGTCAATATGCTGCATTTGGCAAAGGCTGTTTAGTTTCAAGCAGGCCTGCACACAGCATACAGTTGGAGGGCAAATGTGGACCCATCTGCAAGTCTTTGCAGCCCATTGAGTTGACCTCGGCCTCATTATGTATGGCCTGCCAAGTTCAAGGTGGACAAGAAATGTGAATCCAGAGATTCAGCTTGGCATTTGTACACATCTAACGTTGCCTGGAGCTGAGCGGAGTATCTCCAATATTCTAGACGAGGCATGAGCTATTCTAAATGACTCTCTGGTGGCCAAGTGTAGAGATAAGATATTAAGAGAACAAGTTATGAAGTGGACATTCCCAGCTGAACTCTATGTACTGGTAGTGTTCCTGTTGCTATGTATCGCATATATATATATATATATATATATATATATATATATATATATATATATTAGGGCTGGGCGGTTTCGTTCGTTAATTTCGTAATTCGTTATTAATTCGTATTTAAATTAGCTTACGATCCGATATTGAGCCATGCAGGAATAGTGTGAGGAGTAAATTAGATTCGAAACAATTTTTTCAATTTATTTCGTTATTATTTCGAAATTATTTCGTAATTATTTCGTAATTATTTTCGCATGTCTGGTGCAAGTTTTATAGTTGTTGTTTGTTTTATCACACCAACAGTCAACAACAGAGGGAGAGGGAAGCTTCAGAAGTTCCCCCTGTCTCATTTGGAGGTTTTTTTAGCATATTGCGCAATCGTGCCTGCCATTAACAAATCGATTCGTAATTATACAAAATTTTGAAAGTATTTAGAATTTGGAAACGCTAGCGCCCCCTGGAAACGAATCGAGTTTAGAAACAATTTTTTCCGTGGTTACCCAGCCCATATATATATATATATATATATATATATATATACATACATATATATACATACACATACATACATACATACATACATAGTGTGCTTTCAAATACAGACTATATTTTGTTTTGGGGTTGTTGTTTTTTCTCATGTCAGGAGCAACTTGAGAAACTGCAAGTCGCTTCTGGTGTGAGAGAATTGGCCGTGCAAGGATGTTGCCCAGGATGTTTTGATGTTTTACCATCCTGTGGGAGGTTTCTCTCATGTCCCCACATGGGGAGCTAGAGCTGATATAGGGAGCTAATCCGTGCTCTCCCCGGATGTGAACTTGCAACCTGTTAGTCTTCAGTAGGTTTGGTTGATCAAAAAAAAATTTGTTCAAAACTTGTTTCGGATGTGTTCGATTCCAAAGTCAATTCCGATTTTCACAGAAAAAAAAATCAAAACTTTTCAAAACTTCTGAGACTTCCGAATCCTTTCGTTAATGGTTTGAAAGTGTTATTTCCTGTTTCATTTAGTAGTCTTTACTTTGAAAGTAGTTGTTTTATTCCAGATGCAGGGGAAAGCAAGCAGAGGAAATTCCTTCATTTTCTGGTTTAAAAGTGGCTTGAGCTGAGGTCAGGAAATTCCTTCCTTCTCTGGTTTAAAACTGGCTTCTCTGGCTTGAGCTGAGGCCAGGGACCAGAAGCGGGGGGAAAGCAAGCAAAGGAAATTCCTTCCTTCTCTGGTTTAAAACTGGCTTCTCTGGCTTGAGCCAAGGCCAGGAAATTCCTTCCTTTTCTGGTTTAAAACTGGCTTCTCTGGCTTTAAAACTGGCTTCTCTGGCTTGAGCCGAGGCCAGGAAATTCCTTCCTTCTCTGGTTTAAAACTGGCTTCTCTGGCTTCGAGCCGAGGCCAGGAAATTCCTTCCTTCTCTGGTTTAAAACTGGCTTCTCTGGCTTTAAATGGCATCTCTGACTTGAGCCGAGGGCAGGAAA